TGAAATGTTTAAAGTAGGTTTTGTAGATCTCATATGCACGTGGGTTAAAAATTAAAATGGAGTTGGAGAGAGAGATGGATAAATTATTATAACAAAGTTTTGAAAAGGGATCTGTATCTATATACACTTTCAACTTTGCTTTATTCTCTCTATCTTTTTGTTTTTATCTTCATTTTTATTTTTAACAATTATCATCTCACTAAATCATTTTTAAAAAAGAAATCGATATGTTATTTTACGCAATAATATCAACCGGAATTTTAGAGAAAAATAAAATAATTCAATTGTCTAATAAATTATATGATTTGGAATAATATGTTTGTGATACAGAGGAGAGAGAGGTGAAAACTTAGGCATATGGATAAAGGGAAATAAGGATCACATGGAGCAAAGCAAGTGACCAGGCAAATTTGGCAAAAGATTTTTCTTTTCTTTTTATTTTTTTTATTTAAACTTTTTATTATTATTATTTTTTTAAATGGAAGCTTTTGGTCTACAAAACTTCCAAAAAGCAAATATTTGATCTCTCATCTCATGAGATTTTCTTTACTAATTTGAAGATTTTCTCAAATCTTTCTACAGGATGAAAAGTTTACGACAATTAATTATTGTAATTGTTACTATCATCTCACCTCTGCTTAATTATGTTTTTATCAAAAACACCAAAATAGGTATTTGTTATTCTATATTTGNACATATTCTATATTTGCTTTCAGAAAGAAAAAGAAAGTTATTATATCTTTTATTTTTCATTGAAAATATTATGGTTCTTAAAGTAATTATTTGCTAATTAACATTGACCTTTGTTGAGAGATAGAAAATGTATACAAAATTCGTTTTATTTTAATTAATATCCTATTTGATGACAATCTTTTGTTTTGTTTAATTTGAAATTTTTGAAAATTCTTTTGAAATCTTGACGTAGATTCTTAACAATTGCATTTTTAGTTTTAGTAAATTGTTTATGATTTTTAAAATTGTTTTTTTTATAAGTAGGTATTTATTGAAAAATAATTAGTAAATCAAATATACTTTTTAAAAGCAAAATTGTCATTAATTCAATCCTAGAAAACCTATAATGAGCAAATATAATCATTTTTCTTATTTTCCTTTTGGTTTTAAACTGCCATCATTATACCTTATAGTAGTTTTATTGAAAATAAAGGAGCACGTACGAGTAGAGCGGCAAAAGTAAAGTACTAATAAATATTAAGTATAAAATAAATTAAGAAGTACAAAAAAATGTACTTCTTAATTATTAGGACACTATCACCCGTGATTAAATTGTTTGATGAGAAAAGTTATCCAATTATGTGAACCTCGGCTCTGACTGAGAGCTATTCGAAGGATGAACTGGACGAGTGACCTGCAAAATAGAACACACTATGATGCTAAAGTCAGTAGCTGGTCAAACTAAACTCAAGAGAGAATTTAACATTCACGTATTTTTTAATGGAGCAAATGAGTCCTATTTATAGACAAAATATCGGGTCATGTTCCTGACAATACCTCAACAGCTCTTTAAGGTTACCACGAAACTCGACGTGTTGCGTGGAGTATACCAGAGAAGAGGTGGAGTCGAAGTGAAGTAAGTTGGTTCAACCAACGACTTGAGAACAATACTTAACATGGCTTGGTCGATTCAAATACCAAAGAGATCGACTTGGTCATATCTATCATGGCCGAGACTCTGCATTGGCAGTATAAGACGCGTGTCTTCTATAGTTCAATCATCCATGTGTAAGCTAAAAATCCACCTCCAATAGAAATAATCTTAATTCAAAATAAATATCCAAGTTTTCAAATTACCACCTCCAACTTTGTTCAACTAAAAAATTTACAACAATTTATTAATTTCTCATTCATATTTATATAAATTATTGGTGATTTTTCAATAAGAGACTAAAAACTCAAACATGGAAGGGTCTTTTATTTATTTTTAGTCCAAAATCTTACGGGATGGGAAAAATTCTGTCCCATCACTTATGATTATTCCTAATTAGCCACTGTACAGACAACTGTGGCTAACACGTGCTCCTTGACTCTTTCCCTCTTACTTCCCATATGGAATCTTCATCTCTCTAAATTCTTCACCTCGTCATCTTAGCTCTGACATAAATATCAAGATCGTTTGATAACTATTTCTATTTTTAGATTTAGATTTTTCTTATTTTTAGTTTTCTATATAGAGTAGAAATGACAATGGTGTGRGTGCCAGCTATCCTCTTGTATTCGAGAAAATTTTTAATCTCTATCTTTACCTCATCCTTCGGTATGAGAGATGTTCTCCAGAAAAATTATTGGTTTTAATTATTTTTAGAATTTAAAAAATAAAAAAGCTTAATAAATATAATTAATTTAAAAATGGAATCGAAACGGGATTGGGACATGCATTTTATACTTTGGGGTCTGACTTTGTAGAAAAAGAAAAATTATAGTAGAAAAAATTTAGAGATAAAAACAAGATTGAAAATATAATTTTTAGATAAAATAAATAAAAGTTACGGTAAAAGAAAATTAAACGAGAAAAGAAGATGGAAAAATAATTTAGGAAGGGAAGGAAAGGTTATAAAAACAAAAAACGAAATTTTAAAGAAAAAAAGTTCAAAAAAATATTAAATTTTTAGAGAAAGAAATGAAATTGATCTATTAGAAAAATAATAAAAAATAAGAATACACAGAGATGAGGAAAATTATAGAGAGAGAAAAATAAATTTTGTAGGAAAAAATTAAAAAAAAATAAAGTGAGAAAGAAATTTTTATAGTAAATATGAGAAATAAAAAAAAGTTGAAAAAAAATCAAATTTAGAAAATCATAAACCTATTTTTGAAAGTTTTTTTTTTTGAAATTTACATAGAATTACAAATTAGTTTTTGAAAAAAAAATAGAAAATTTAATTGGTTATCAAATAATCCTATTCCTTAAAAACTAAAGATCAAAACCAAAAACTAAAAACGAAATAGTTATCACACGGACCATAAATTATCAATTTAATTTGATGCAAGGTGAGTTCAATCTCAATTTAATTTATATAGTTTTTTTCAATGAATTGGGCATGATTTTTGGTTATTATAATTTTGTTTAATTTATATAATTTAGTTAAGTATAACATATTAAAATTGAAACGAAGTAACTTGGTATTTGGATTGTAGGATCAAGTTAGAACCCATGAAATTAAAAAGACTAAATCAAAACTGAATTGAATAAAAAGATATCTAAAAGAAAAAAGAACATGTAAATTCGCCAAATCAAGCGGTGGGCCGTGTGCTTCGTATCCGACGGTTCTGAGAGGGTCATTGTTCATTGTGCCACGTGGCTAAAGTAGGGAACGCCAGCAAACGTGAGATTGCCGGGTAGCCGAGTCATATGGAGCGCACCGTTTTTGGCGAAGCGGTTCACGGCATTTGAGATTGAACTAATGCGGGATTCGGGAAGGGGAAAAAGTTTCGTCTGCTCGCGAGCTCTGCTGTTTTTTAACATGTGTCCGCAGATCACCCCCCGTTAATATTTTTGTCAGCCTTCTGAATTTTGGAAATTTTTGTAGAAAATTAATAATCGCCAGAAAAGCGTGGGCGCGAATTATAATAAATATTTTATTTTCTGACTTTTGATAAATAATAAAATTATCTCATAGGACATAGACTTTAGGTTTTTATTAGAATAGATAAAATCCCGAATTCAGAATAGTAATGTCGAGCGATCGCGACGTCTACATCAACAATTTTCATGCATCCAAACAAAAAGGAATTGTTGATCTTATTCTATGTTTATTTCTTGAAAAAAAAAAACTAAATCCAAATAGTAAAATACTTATATTCTAATATATGGAATTCTTTTTAGTATTTTAAATCAACATGTTTTCCCTATACATTAAGTAAGTAACAACAAATAAAATGATGGCGATAGAAAAGGCAATACCAAAAAAAGGTTTTGGGCCATGTTAAGTCATCAAATTTCTTTATAACTTTCTTCGATGTCAATAATAGTTTAAAATAATTATAACAATGATAATAACTGTTGGAGGATAAAATTCACATGACATGTAGACCAATCAACTCAATCTGATAAGGATAAATGTGTTCGATCAATTTATGGGAAAGACTGAGGTGCTTGGAAGATCGAGCTGGAGACCAAATCAATTAGAGAATCGTTCAACTTCTCATCAACTGATATGAGGACACCGACCTCAGGTCCATGTACTTTTAAAAAGTGACCATTTTACTACAAATTTTATATATAATGAAAATCTTTTAATATAAAGTAACTATTACATATTTAAAAAAATATAGGTATATATTGAGTGTAATATTGTATTAAAACTGTGGTAGAAAAGATGAGATTAAAAATAAAATTAAGAAATTAAGAAATTAAGATGGTATCTTTTAGAAAATGTATAGTCCAAAACAAATATTTTGAAAGTAAAAATAAAATAAAAAATAGGATCAAAATAAATCAAAATAAAAAATATAGGCAAAACAGCATGTTAGCCTAAATTATAATATACAGAAAAGAAAAAGATAAGTTAATGGGAATATTAGGAATATTTAGCTCACCGCGAGCGTATACGGCCCGGTCGCGGCAGTGGGATAACCAACGGCCATGATCTTATTTTTTTATTAATTAAATAAATAATGGAAACTTTTGGAAAAATATAAAAAAACGGTCAAAGCTGGTCGTCGTTCAAAGAATGCGAAATTCTAGGAAGTGGAGTTTCTGACACGTAAGAGCATCACCCACGGAGGTTTACCGGCTGGTCCAGTTATCTGTTTTTCTTTTCTCGTTTGCAGACTGCAGTGATGTCCGCGAAAAAACAAAAAAAAATTCAAAAAAATTGAACAGGGAACTGAAAATTCCAACTTATTACAATCCCGCCTGCGTTCGAGAACCCAATTGGGAGTGGCTAATCAATATTTTTGGACTTTCCGGGACATATTTGGTATTCCCCAATAAATTAAGGGTAATCTGGTCAATTCGGCCACGACTGCTCTTCGTTTTAAAGCCTTTAATCTCACGCTCGGACTTTGGAAGACCAGAGAAGCGGGAGAGACAGATAAAGCACCAGTGACAGAGAGGGAGAGAAAAACAGTGGAAGAGGAAATGGTGGTCTCGCAGATTTAACTCATAAGACGGAGTTTGTTATTTTCTGGTGAAAGCGTCGAAAGGGAAAAGTGATTTTCAGAATGACGACCGGAATGGTGCAAGACCAGAATCTGGAGAAGCAGATAGAGAAACAAATGGGTTGCATGGCTGGATTCCTTCATATCTTCGATCGTCATCAGATTTTGGCCGGAAAACGCCTCTACTCGGCCAAGCGCCTCCCTCCATCGGTAATTTTCCGATTAGCATTTTCATTTTTCTACAGAACCACCCAAATTCCGCATTACTGTTTTTAACTGGAACGAGATTTTCTGAAACTGCAGGTCGGCAACTCAACTCCACCGCCGGAGAATGCCGTTCCGTCTATGGAGACATCCGCGGAATTGGAAAAACCACAGCAAACTAGAACAACGCCTTCTCCGGACCGAGCGAAGCATTTCGCTCCGGTGCCGGAACCAGTAACCCCTGTGGAAAGCAAGCCCAAACAGCCCCTTCCTCTTCCAATTTTTGAGTACAAGGAAGGAGCTCGGTCTTTATGGAAGTTCTCTCGAGAAGCCCCACGGCTTTCGCTGGATAGCAGAGCCATTGTTGATGGTAAAGGTAGCATATATCCTAGGGAGATCCGTACCAACGCTTCTATTCTGTCTGCTAACCGCAGTGAAAGCTCAACCGAAGAAGGAGACGAACAGCGTCGGTCTCCGAGCGTCATTGCTAGATTAATGGGGCTTGAACCATTGCCGAACTCGGAACCAGAACCAATCAAAAAGGCCGAGCTCCGAAGATCGGCTTCTGAATCCAGAGTCTCTAAAGAGTTCTACCAGAATCGCTTCATCGACGGTAACAATTTCAGACTTAAGAAATCTCAACATTCGAGCTCACAGGACAATACTGCGAGCAGTCTACTTGTGAAGAATGCAGCAAACGTGGACCACAGTTCAGACGCCAGAGTGCTAGACAGGGACGAATTTGCAGCCAGAAGTACTAAGGCTGAGTCCGCTAGGGCACACAGAGGATTGGGACCTAGAAAGATTTTCTTCGATTCGGCGGACGTTTTTCCAGAGCCGAAGCAGACCGCATCATTCTACGGAGAGATAGAGAAGAGGTTGAGGATGAGAGGAATTGATGAACCTACAAAAGATTTGGAAACCGTAAAACAAATCCTAGAAGCACTACAACTCAAAGGACTTCTTCATTCCAAGAAGCCCCCGAACCAGAAGAACTTCGTCTATGACCGTACTTCGCAAACCGAATCTCCGATTGTGGTGATGAAGCCCGCTAGATCACCAACTTCGGCCAATCGCTTAGGAAGAATCGGTAACGAGTCGCCACCTTCGAGTTACAGATCAAGACCAGTCGGCCGCCGAAATGTTAACGTTACTGGTGAAACCATGCCGAGCGCAACCTCGAGGCGTGATCGTTTGGAGTTTGATCGGAATATACGGAACCAAAACAGAGGTAGATACTCGAGTTCACCGACTAGAAGCGACAGTAATGTGAAAAGTGGATTGTTCATTGAAACGCAGAGAAGAATCAGCGATCCCGTGGATCAGAGGAGACCTTATCCGGTTCAATATTCGAAGATTAATTCATCCAAAATCGGACCAGATCCCCAAATCACAAACCGATCCCCAAGGAACAGGAAACCCACGGCTTCTGTTCATCCAAAAGAACGCAAGATTTACGTACCTCAAGCAGAGGACGAGTCATCCACCTTCTCAGAGAGCAGCATAAGCAACTCTTCACAAACGGATACAGAGGTACGTAATCACCGATCATAGTTGACGATCAGTCACTTCAGGAAAAAAAATTCTTAGAAAACGATTAAATCATCAATTTCAAAATTCAAAGCAATTAATTGCAATTTATTTCGTCAACAGAGGACGAACAAGGTCGAGGAGTACAAGGAGGGGCGGAGTCTACTGGAGAGGTGCGATAGACTTCTTCACAGCATAGCAGAGATCACAGCGCCCGAGTTGCAACCGAGTCCTGTCTCGGTACTTGACTCGTCTTTTTACAAGGAGGAGTCGTCACCATCGCCTGTACTAAAACGGCAAATAGATTTCAAAGGTAGGAAAAAGAAACCATTACTTCGTTTTACTTTTTCCATTTTTTTCTTTCCCTTTTTCCCCCTCTCATAACGAAGGGAAAAGAAAAAAAAACGCAGTTTTGATTTTTGGGTTCTTATACGCCGATTTTCATTCGCTAGATTTTGCCTTTTGACTTTCGTGGCGCTTACTTTACCATATTTAGTTAAGTATCTGAGTATTTGTTGGCCCGTGGCATGGCCAGGCAATGGGTTTTGGGGGGAGGGGTCCTCTACGGTGAGGTCATATCCAAAGTAGTCAGATGATCCTGTAAATGCACGCCACATCAGTGACTTTCACGCAGGACCCATTGTTAGTAGGAGTGTCCAGCTTTGTTATTTCGAGCTGAGCTGAGCTGGATTGATTTGATTGGTAGTTGGAATGACCAACCATAATTCAATATTCTCATGACTCTGATCCAATCAACTTCCTTTTGGATTAATTTCACTAAACTAGAAAAATTTATTAATGTCCCATTTGATTGTCTCCTTTTCTTGATGATGGGTACTAATCATGTGGGAGAAAGTACGTATGTTTATGGTACTCTTGGCTTTAATTGTCTATTGTATAGCTGTGAGAAGTTATGAATGGTGACTATCAGCAAGCAAGAAACTGCCAGTTGGGTTGAGAGGGTTAGTAAATTAAAGTAATTGGGACCGCTTTTTGCAAGTCCTGGTAGTGGAATTTTCTTGATTGGATTTCTTTGCTGCTTCTTTATCCTTTTTAGAGGGTTACCACCTTATAGTGTTGGTGAATTTTTTAATGAAGTTGTATTAGTTGTTAATTATAAAGATATTGTATGTTTCGTGTGTTGATTGTTGCCTTGTGTTCTTGTTGGCATTGTTTTATCAGACCAAGTGGTTGATGTGGAAGAAGATGCATGGTTTCAAGCTATCTCATCGGTTGAATCGAGTTTGGCTGATCGATCCGACGACTGTGATTTTGTCTATGTTATGGATGTTCTCCGAGCCTCCCATTGGTTGCAAGATGACTCCGACGTATTCCTATTGTTAGAGGAGCAACAGTATCTGAAAGGGAAGGACATCTCCAAGGTCTCAAGGCTTCAAAGGAGGCTAATTTTCGATACTATAAATGAAATTCTCGATCGCAACAGGCAATTGCCACCGTGGAAATCCAGCGCGCAGCCAGAATCCATGGCCGAGCCATCTTCAGTGCAAGAGATCTGGTCCGAGTTTCAGCAAATCAAGGACCGGGAAGACACATCGGATGACTTGTTTAAGGTCATCTGCAGTGTCTTAAGAAAGGACCTGACAAGGGATGCCCCTACTGGATGGAGGGACTGGCCAGTCGAAACATCCCAAGCAGTTTTGGACATCGAGAGACAAATATTCAAAGACTTGATCGGCGAAACCATCGTGGATCTCGCTGCCTTCCCCGGAAAGTGCAACCCAAATAACATGAATAACATGCCTCGTAGAAAGCTGGTATTCTGAAAGGCAAGGCAAAGTTTCTTAATTCTTTTTTGTTTTCGGCGCTGATAGTTCCTCCCCCCACCTAATTATTTTTAGAGAAAAAAATGCTAATTTAATGGTCTGTTGTGGGGGGAGATCTAAGAAGAATAGCAATTTGATGTGTATAAAATATGCATTTAGTCATAAAATAGTGAAGTGGGAGGAGCAGAAAAGAGGGGGGTGAGTGGGGTTGCTGTAGCAGTTCATGTGAGAAAGTGTTTGATAATTAAAAATTCCTCATGGGAAAAAGTAGAAAGTGACCTTAAAAGCAGGGACTGGGACTGGGACTGCGAGATTTTTAGCCTTAAAAGCAAAGCTGAATTCATGTGCGTTTCTGTCTCTCATTTTGAGCACTTAATCATTCAAAACTGAGTCATTAAAAATTGCTCTGAAAATTATGGACGCCATTCCTCTGGGCTTGTCTTTAACTTTACAACGCCCAATTATTTGTTACACCTCAGATCTCACCTGCTCCCAACGCTTTTTAACTATTACTACTGTAAAAATGCTGAAGGAAAGAAAATAACAGTAAAAAAAAAGGTAGATCAGAATATTCGGACTGGACTTCCTTCGAAAATTATTATTACCACGAGGTTACAGCAGAAAAGGAAACAAAGCACCTGAATTCCAACGAAGCTTTGGGTTGCTGTTTCAAGTTGTGTTGATTAGATTGAATTATTCTTATAGCTCAACAGATGAAAAGGGCTCGCCGTTCTTCTTTTTCTTCCGTTTTGGTGTTTTCTGACCAATGATGGTGCATGGCAGACCTCCAATAATAGTGCATGGTAATTTTTCTGATTATGCCGTCCCCATAATTGGAGAATCGGAAAACGTGTTGAATTTTGGCAAAATATTAGAATTAAAGTTGTCCCATATCCCTGGTATCCAAGCTTACTGTTTTGTGTAATTCAGGAAGAATACAGCAAAATATTATTAGAATTAAAGTTGTCCCACATCCTGGTATATCAGCTTAGTGTTTTGTGTAATTCAGGAAGAATAGAGAGAAATCTATATGATTGTAATAATTTTTTCTTGTGGGCTGTGATTTTTTTTTTTTTCTGATTTAAAGTTTTTCATGTTAATTCTTGTATTTTTTTCCTACTTACCATAGAATCAATCTCCGCATATAATCCTTTTAATTTTTGTTGTGAATTTGAAAGAAATTAGAGGGATTGAAGAATGAAGACAGAGGAGATGGATCGGCAATGGGCGAAAGGCGAATGGGGCATTAGGTGACTGAGAATGAGATTGTCCAAAATGTGTCTCAGTGGTGACGCCCCGCCCAAGAGTTGATGGATGAGCTCACCTAACAATGGAAGCTTTCTGCTTCCTGCTATGCAATCCATTACTAGTTTGTCTCCCTCTCCGGGTAAAAGTATTTATAAGCAAAAAAAAGCTAAAACCAGAGAGTCTGAGAAAACCAATGGAAACATGGGGTCCTTGTCGACGCAGAAGGGCGCCATCTTATCTGCGTATGCATTGAATAATGCGAATTAACGTCACTGGCAGTTGCACATGTTGCTTCTGCAATCCCACTCTCTCCTCCAGCGCCAAATTGTTACATCAATAAACAGAGCTTCTTCAGAGAAAACTGGCTGGTAGGTACGTTTTGTGAAACCAAGCACTCTTTAATTATGTGTCCRTTGCTGTTCCTTCTCGTCTTTGTGGCCATTGCTCCATTTCTGCATCGTACTCAATCATTGTCCCCTTTCTTTCATGGACCTTTTTTTTTAGCCAGATGATAATTTTGTCAATGGCTGTCAATATTAATGCGTTGTTCTCAGTAAATGATCCGCCTGTAGGTTTAGGTGAAAAAGAGACGAACATGACAGCCAATAAACGCCGTATAGAGCTTAGTTTTTGCTCAGATCGAGGCCACTAAGTCTTGCGCACCATCTGTTTGATGAATTGATTCAACGAAGTGAAAAAGTTTGGAGTTGATTTCTGAACACACCACAAATCAGCTTTGGCTGCTCCCTTCCACGATAATTATTCCAATCTTTCTTCAATGGAAGATATTAAATTAGAATAGTTTTGGGCTTTCAGACATTACATTTACAGCTACCCACTGTCACACCTTCAATCCTTTATTCATAACTAATACAGTAGTAAATTGGTCACAACTAACTCCCTCATTCTCTTGCCGTTTTTTAGTGCTATTATGGCAGACTGCGGAGTAATATTGCAAACCCTGAAACTTCCCCACAAGATTTAGTTGGAACAACCTCTCATGCTCCCCCTACCCAGAAAAAAACTTCTTTTTATTAGTACAACATGTGGGATGAAAGATTGAATTCACATGCCAATTACGGTTGAGTTATATTCACTTTGACCAAAAAAAAAAACTTCTAGTTTAAGCCTTTATTTTCACTCCACTTGTATTGCATATAGCCCCAAATATCAATGTCATATCCCACAAGCACATTCTATAAGCTCTAAAGATAAAACTCAAAATCTGGCATAGGAAAATAAATTATAGTTACAGGGCTCTATGAACATTTAAAACGGAAAGTTAAGCCATGTTCATAACAGGACTCTACCCTCCTTGGTAGAGAGGAGCACGGCCAGGAACAGTTCAGTTCAACCATTTATTGATAATAACATGAAACATCTCAGTCCCCACTGACATAAATGGGCCAGGAGAGATCTCTATCGCAACCAATTATGGCGGAAAAAAACCCTCTGGAAAATTTCATCATAAAAGTTTGTTTTTTTGTTATTTATTTATATATTTAATTTTTTTTATTTTTACTCGGTCTTTTAGTTGACATGACATTAATTTCACTTCTACTATTTTCATTCTCCTGAAAGACTAGTAACTGCAGCTTAAAGCTGCTATATCAACCCTATTCTTCCTTTTCACCAAAAAAACTTCAACTATTCTTTTTTTTTCTTCTTTTTTTTTCCCCTCCTCTCTAGACTAATTTGACCTCATAACCGTTGGTGGGAGGATTAAACAAAAAGAATAAGCATGGCCTTTTAATTTTAATTATTTGAATTGCCAAATATATTTTCAGGTCACAAGAAATGGCTGTGATCATGATAACTTGTTTCGAAGTGAAATTTGCATATTCATTAATAACTATTGTTGGGTAGTAGTTGGCTTTACGTTTTACCAAATTGACTGATGCCTCAACGATTAAGCAATGATTTAATATTTTTTATAAGTTGGTAAGATAATGGATTGAAGGGCAGGTGGGGTTGAATTAATCGAGTTGTTGATCTATTAATAATTCGACTTAAATCAATTTCAAGCTCCGTGAAAACTATAAGCAGGAGCTTTTTAACACCTCGCTGATGTAAAAGGAGAGATATAGAAAGTGGTCATTCAATGGGCATATTCAGCTGATAAAGCTGATAAAGCTGATTTATTTGGGCTTTTCTCTGCTTGAGATGGGACAGCCAGAATCCCGATTTTCTTCCTCAGGGCCTACAACCACCTGAAAGTTACAGAGAGCCCGAAGTTTTGGGCCGTCTAATAAAAAGCTTGTGAAAACAAGAAAACTACCACTGCTTAGAAACCATTGGTAGATGCCGCCAGTCCACTCCAATGTATCTATAGCCAGGTATAACATCGTAAACTGTTGTCTATCTTGGTTTTATATTGATAGTTTCATGATTCATCTCTGGTTCCTAGTGGATGGCCTGAATGTTTTCAATATGTTTTTTACCATTTTATAGCTTTTTCTCTTTTCCACTTTGTTTATGTCATGCAAAAGAGCATATAGGTTAAGATTTTAGACATGGCGATGCAAGAATTGCCCATGAACCTGATATTTTTATGCACATTCATTCAAGTTCAATTATATAGTATGGTAGTAAATGTCATGAATAAAAAAATAAAGATAATGCATCAACGGTTCATAGATTTATTTTTGAGCTTTTTGTAAAAATAGGACGGTTTGGCTTTTTTGTACAAGGGACATTTTTTACCCGTTGATATCTCCCCCCAGTTTCATAAATGAGAAGGAAAGATAGAAAAGAAATTAAGATGCATAAATTTGCTACCGCCTTTTATCAAAGAAGATCTCATAGGAAGCGTGTGATTTCAACTCTTTTTCTTATTTTTCCTCTCCCAGAAGAGCTTTTTTGCGCTTCTCATGCATTTTGTGATTAGAAGATTGAGGGAGAATATGGATTCATTAATGGAAAGTGGAAGATAAAGTGGTGAGAAACGGGGCAAAGGGAATTAATATCCGACAAATAATCCTGATTTTCTAAGGAAAAATCTTTGCAACATTATGGACAACACAATATCATCTAATACAATCGCTTCTTCCGTTTAAATGTAACTTCATTTGAACTTGTTTCCCCTATTGAAACTGCGACTGGATATTTGAATATGCTTCTTATGTGGAAAATTCTATTTTGTTGTTTAAAGAAGTTATTTCGAAATGTCCACTTCAACCACAATTTCAACTACCAAACTGCCAAAAGGTTAAGCTGGAGCTGCACTCTTAGAAGAGCTTTATTCAAGTTTTCCAAATAGTCTGACCTCTTGTAGTTATTAGCTTGGTGGTTTCATCTTGATGTCCCATGCTGTCCAGACAGATTCCTCCTCCACTTAGTAGTTCAGATTTAACCTTCCTATAAAAGAAATTTGTAGCTGAATTTTTTTATAGGTTCATAGTGGTTTTGAGTACTTAGTCGCCCTCATAATGAGATAAGACATCAGAAGAATCTTAGCCTGGTTACTTGGAAACAAAATAAAGTGGGAAACAATCTTGGTCCACATTTGCTGACCTTAATCCCCACAAGAAATCCCCAGTCAAAATACTTACCTTTAATAGAGAAAATAATTGGCTTTCCATTTTCTAAATAGGAACGTGATACGTATAATTCCAGTTTTAAGCCTTATCAAAGAGAACAAAATAACTAATCATTAAAAGTACTTATTTCTTTGAATATCTGAATGATCACTAAAGTGCATCAACAATGAAAATTTATCATTAATATTGTCTTTCTAATTTGTGGATCAAATTAATCTAATCATATTAATGTTTGTATCTTTCCGTTGCTTTGAATTCATTGAGGTTGTTACACTTACACCATTATAATTGTTTCACGTGGAAGACCTCTCTAAGTTGACTAAACCAATTTATAACGCGATTAGGAGGTAGATTATCATAAATTGATCTTGAATTACCACCAGTTAACTTTTCAATATGAATTATGAACATGATGAGTTATATTTTGTTGTATCAGACTTGACAGTTTCACGACTACCGAAGATTGAGTTTCCTTATGCTAGCCGAACAACTGATGATTCTTATGAGGATGTTTATTAAGTCAACAGAGAGCATCCATTGTTGAAAATCAGAAGAATTAATGGTAATATGGTTTATATTCCGTCAGAATGTTTATAATTTGCAGATGTGAAATAATAGCAAGATAGTAAAAATAAGAAAAATTATAGGTTGTCAATCTATTAATGTATATTTGAGATACTATTTCAAGTTAGCCAAATGTTACATGCTGAAGCAGTATTAAATGATTGAAAGAATGCTCACTTCGCTGCATTTCAACAAAGGAAGGATGATTTTCTTTCTAATAATTAGGTACTGTGAATTATATGATTCATTTTAGTATTTTACACAAGGATAACCGATTTCATTTACTGCATGTTAACTCTTTTCCTACACACATGTTTTTAATTGTATTTATGTCATCCGACAGTACTATAGACTTCCACCTTTGAACCAATCTAATGATCAGAGAAATTCAGATTTTTGCAAAGTTACTTTTGCTCTGATGCCTGAACAGTAAAAGTATCTGTACATCTTGGAAGAAGAAAGAGCTCCTGTAATGCTGAAAATTTTAAAAACAAAAACAATGGGAGCTAAAACGGATATAATCCAAAATCTTGCTTTCTGCATCTCTTAGCTTTAAATGAAGCAGTTTGTCGTGTGTTTTGCTTTTGTTTTGCCTGCAAAAAGTTAAACAAATTAGATTAGAATCCATCTTTAAATTATATTACCAACATACTCCTCTCTAAACATCTCATTTGGACCCGTAGTCGTCCTGCTAACTCGCCAAGTGATTAATTTAACATATTTGACTTCTCCACTGAGAAGAAAAGAAATAAAGGGTAACAATAAGAAAAGGAAGAAAAAGAGATGTATTGAGGTTAATACATATTTTGTAACATGGTTGCTTTAGCACTGGATCATCGACTGAAGCTGGTGGATCCTGTCCAAATATCATCTTACAGCTCATGTCATCAAAATCTGCAAAGCAAAAGATATAGTTATTTTAATCAAATAATATAAAGTTTTTAAAAATAAAAAAATAAAAAAATCCCTTGCTTATTGATGTGTTTCCTGGTCCTTGAAATTAATTCTAATGCTTCCCAGCTAGTAGTTACATCATGGTGCACAATTAACATCCTAATAATAATGCATTTGCTTGGTTTCATTTTTTTTCACCTGTGATGATTAATGTATGTCATGGGTGAGAGGATGATTGGCTCAATGGGAAATCCAGCTTGATGATTTATTAGCGATGGAAATTCAGCTTCTATTTCTTGGATTATGACCACATTGCAACATTAAGCTGCAGGTTAAAAATCCCACTTAGCTTGGATGGGGCCTATCTGCATTTCTTTTGTACCCAAAATGGTTTATGCATGGGACCCTCCATTCACAATGACAAACATGATCCATTCCACCCATCTAGTGCTGGTAATGTTGCTTTAATAGTAATTTCACTTTTGCTCGTGGATCAACCAGTCATTGTGCTATAGCTGATTTACTTATTTGATGTCCTCACAACTAAACCATATATATGCTGTTTAAATCATCTATTCCTTTCTAACATCCCTCAATATGCGAATATGAAGTTTGTATTCTGGCTTTAGTGACAGCTCGAATTAGTGTCAGGAATTGCCTTGTTCTGCAGTATATGTTAAAATAGTGTTTGGTTGCTGAAAGTGTTTGGTGATTTTGTAGCTTGGAGATGAGACTTACTGGGGACCATTTCGACTGGCATTCCCAGAGAATCCTTGATGAAGTCCTGACATGGAAACTTGCATAGATTAATGCACATTCCAACACAGTTAGTTTGCTCTAGGAACCTGCAATTTCAATTGAATTATAGATTAGAACGTTATTTTTCACAATGAAGATTTTCAAAGGTGTGAATGATGGGCAGGAGGGTTCTTACTGTTATCAAGTACTGAGGGTTTGAACTCAAAAAAGAAAAGGAAAAAAAAAGTACTGAGGGTTTAGAAGAGCACAATAATTATGGTCAAATGGTTTTGTGGGGGTGGAAAGTGTCTCAGGTAGGTGAGATGGGACCCCATGAACGGGTAAACAACATTGCCTGGCCCTTAAATATAGAACTATGATGCAAAAGACAAATTACCTGCACTTGTTGATCTGAACCACATTCTTTTCTCTTCTTCCATTGAAGTCTGATTCCTTCACCTGTAAGAATCCATACATATGCATATATTTCTCTTGTTAGCCTTACGAATTAGTGATTTAAAAAGAAACTTGCTTCTTTCATTTGTGTGTGACTGTGCGAAGGGATTGGCTCCTTGGATGTTCTGCTTTATCAGCTGTGTTTGATCGAGTTCATAAGGAATGCTTCCAAAGTGAATGGATCACCAAACAGAGTAAGCATGAAAAGAAGATAGTTTTGAGACAGGACAGGTCTAGAAGGGACTAGTGCCTCAAACACTGCAGTGCAGGCAGGTTTACCAACTTGGCCATTGAAAATCATATTATTGTATTGAATTTAGTGCTATTGTTGAAGTTCTTGATGTCCACCATTATGCCCCTCATATGCCACTCTTTTCTGGCAAACTCTATGACATTAATCCTAAATGGTACTGTGGTGAGCACTTGGTTTGTGTGTGTGTGTATGAGCAGAGCCGTTAGCTCCCAGTTATGCCCTTGGATTGCTATCAACATACTGAGGAAATAAAGGGCATTTGGGTAAATTTTACCACATCTCACCTCACAGGGTCCAACCAACCAAGCAAAGAAGACAGTGGTGAATGCAGCAAAATATTCCCTTGTGAATTTGGATTGTGGCAGCAATGTTCTTATCTGCACCACAATTATTTGTTAGGACATAAAAGTGGGGTGGGGGTGTAACAGTAAAAATGTGAAATTGGAGATGGATTAACAATAGTAAAAGTAAGGGTTTGATAGTTAATTAATTGAGTGATTAATGATAATTATAAGAGATATAAGGGGCAGGGTGGGCATTTGACGATTTTATTTCCATATAATGACGTGACAATTAAATAATTATTAAACTCAATCATTAATTGAAAGAAAAATTGGAAAAAGGGTATAGTTATTTTATTCAGTAGGCTCTGACTTGGGCAATAAATCCTAGCTATATTCCCCCACGGACCGAAAGAGGAAACCAAATGTTGAAATTTGGCCAAAATAAAATTTCATCACATCATAAAATGGAAGAGATGAGATGATTCTATGTTACGTTTTTTAAGTACAATATGTGGGTGGTGTGGGTGCGGTTCGAACTCACAGCTATGCTCATTTTGACTACGTTGTTTAGCTTAAAAAAATAATATATGTGTATATATATATAAAAAGTAAACTTTTGTTTACGTGGAAACTTTTACTTTGGACTATTAGAATTTAATTAGCTCGGGCTATGTAAAAAAAAAAGAAAGTTTTTTCTTTTAATTTTAAAATTATTTTTAAGAAAAATGATTTTTTATACCTTGACGGATTGATTTTTCAATCTCAAATAAAATAGTTGGTACCTTACCCATTAAACTATGTTTGGGTTTAAAAATTATTAGACACTTAAAATTATTATTCATAATATTTAGTAATATGTACAACATGCTATATCGCATGCCAATATAACTCAACGGTTGAGATAAGGAAAAAAAAAAAGGTATGCCACACATACATCTAGATTGCCTACATAGAAATAGGAGGAATTAATAATTTTTTTTAGTATAACAAAGGTAAAAAGAGGGGAGACGTTGATGTTGGTGAAGGAATTAATAGTATAAAACAAGAAGATAACGGTGTTTAATGCAGTAATGAATGAAGCATTGATGGTGGCAAAGTTATGTTAAATGGTAATGAATGAAGCTCACCAGAGATAGGATTGGCCTTGGAAACGCCCTTTCAAGAGCCTGCATGATGACCTCCCTCTGTTTGATCTGGTTGAAACTTCTTGAAGCCATTGTTGCCACCTCCACCAAGCTTTCATATCCCCTTTTTTTGCTTCTCCAACCTGCATATGTATACCGTAATCCTGTTACCTGATACGCCAACCAGAACATAACTCAATAGATTAAAGCACATGTTGTACTAAAAACAAATCACCTGATGTTACTTGCACTGCTTGAGATAGATGGTCGGTGGCTATTTTATCGAACCAGTTATCTCTGTAAACAGTATTAATATTGCCTAATTTTGTTGTTTCTTGATCCGTAACTCCATTCTTCTCTGCTGGTCTTGTGAGCACTGCAACACAAGGAAGAAACATGTTCCTTCTCAGCTTTGTTAATTTGTTGTTGCTCCCCAAAGTTGGAAAAATAATGAACCTTTTTTGCTGAATAAATTTTACATCCATTATCTCTCTTTCTTTTCAGAGGGAGAGAGAGAGAGAAAGAGAGAGATTTTGATGATCCTAATTAAACAATGGTTTGTGGTATTTATAGATAGAGGGAATGGAGGATGGAGAGGGGAAAAGAGAATAAATAGTGCATGTTGGGTATTTTGAGGAGGTCGAAGTTATAGATGCCAAAGTTTGGAGCTTTGCACTATAACAAATTAACTATTTACCAAATTTCATATGGTTACAAAATGAAAATTATATCTATACCTATTTAATTTATTCATTTAGAGTCCATATAAAAATGTTCAATAAGTTTATGAAAAATACTTGCTTCCTACCAACGAGGGGCATTCTTGTCCTTACTACTAATAAATATTTGACCGTGCATTACTTTCAAAAAGGTTTTTTTGTTTTACATTTCTCTATCTTAGTTGTCAAATATTTAATGGTGGTAAGTAGAAGATTCCTCCTTACTGACGAGAAGTCAAGTATTTTTTTAAGTTTATGAATATCATAAACAACTTCGAGTCTACCAATTTGTTGACTAAAGGAGGAGGAATAGAGCTTCGCTTATGAACAATATCAATAAACTACTACAAGTCTTCCATAATCTTTTTTTAGTACAATAAATGGGATGAGAATTTGAACTTATGACTTTTTGATTGAAAATAAGTATTTTGATTAATTGAACTATGCTTGGATTAACAGGTAAGTCCAACACCATCATTCTTCAAATAATGATAAATTAAATTATGAGAGTTATATATATACACACATATATACATATGTGGGCTTTTTTGTTTTTTTTTAGCGGCATATATAGATGGGTGCTTACAATTTATGTTGGCAATAAATAAAATTATTTAGTCAAAACGAACATAGTTCAACGATAATTGGTATGTATGTTCAACCAAAATGTTGTGAGTTCGGTCTCCACTTGTATTAAAAAAATAAATTATAGAGACATTTTCGAAACAAAAAAAATCATTTGGTCTCATTATGAGAGAACATTTTTTAA